ATACCGATGATCGAATCTCGGGCAAGTAACATACCGATGACAAAGGGAATGATGTATGTTGTTATGCGGTTTGACCGATAAAGATCTTCGTAGAATATGTAGGGGCCAATATGAGCATCCAGGTTCCTCTATTGTTTATTGACCGGATATGTGTCTCGGTATGTCTACATAGTTCTCGAACCCGTAGGGTCCGCACGCTTAACGTTCGATGATGATTTGTATTATGAGTTATGTGATTTGATGACCGAAGTTTGTTTGGAGTCCCGGATGAGATCACGGACATGACAAGGAGTCTCTAAATGGTCAAGAGATAAAGATTCATATATTGGAAGGTTGCATTTGGACATCAGAATGGTTCTGAGTGGTTCGAGCATTTTTGTGGAGTACCGGGAGGTTACCGGAACCCCCCGGGAGAAGTATTGGGCCTATTGGGCCTTATTAGAGGAGAGGAGAAAGCCCATGTGAGAAGGGTGTGCCCCCCTTGCCCAAACCGAATTGGACTAGGGAAGGGGGCCAGCCCCCCTCTTTCCTTCTCCCTCTCTCTCTCTTCCCCTTTTCCCTCTCCGCTGGAAGGAAGGAGGGGGCGAATCCTACTTGGACTAGGAATCCAAGTAGGACTCCCACCTTATGGTGCGCCCCCTTAGGCCGGCCACCTCCTCCTCCCCCTTTATATACGGAGGCGGGGGGCACCCCAAAGGCACAACAGACATCTCTTAGCCATGTGCAGTGCCCCCCTCCACAGTTTACCACCTCGGTCATATCGTTGTAGTGCTTAGGCGAAGCCCTGTGCTGGTAACTTCATCATCACCGTCGCCACGCCGTCATGCTGACGGAACTCTCCCTCATCCTCAACTAGATCAAGAGCTCGAGGAACGTCATCATGCTGAACGTGTGCAGAACACGGAGGTGCCGTACGTTCGGTACTTGGATCGGTTGGATCGTGAAGACGTTCGATTACATCGACCGCGTTACTAAATGCTTCCGCTTTCGGTCTACGAGGGTACGTGGACACACTCTCCTGTCTCTTTTCTATGCATCTCCTAGATAGATCTTGCGTGATCGTAGGAATTTTTTTGAAATACTGCGTTCCCCAACACATAGGTCATCGCAAAGATCTTGGACGACTCACCAAAGCACGAAAGTCGGTTAGATTATGGATTCCTATTTGAAGAGTGTCTAACCGCATGGATAAGGTCACATTAACCCATCAATTTTGGATCCAATTCAGAATTTTTCTTGGGAAGTTTCAGGAGGAAATTGGAATGGAATAATATAGATTCATACAGCAGGAAATGTTGTCTATTAATGCAAACGTTGTACCTAGAGGATAGTGATAGAGGAAGTGGGAAAATCGAAATGAAATTAATAAAGAATAAAGCAAAAAAATAAGTCAAATATAGAAGAGCCTAGATTCCAAATGAATAAATGGGAACTCGAAAATGATCCTTCTGATTCTCAAAGAATGAGGGGCAAGGGGATTGATACCGAGAAAGATTTCTTCTTATTATAAGACGGATTTGATCTACATATGTTTGGTAAAAGAACAATCTTCTCCTTTAATCATATCATAAATGGAAAGTGTTCAATTAGAACATGAAAACGTGACTACATTAGTCTTAGTTAGTCTTCGGGACGGAGTGGAAGAAGGGGGGAGACTCTCGAACAAGGAAAATCACCCCTTTGAAAGAATTGACCGAGGAGTCGTATGAGGTAAAAAATCTCATGTACGGTTCTGTAAAGGGACAGTAAGGGTGACTTATCTGTCGACTTTTCCACTATCAACCCCAAAAAACCCAACTCTGCCTTACGTAAAGTTGCTAGAGTACAATTAACCTCTGGATTTGAAATCACTGCTTATATACCTGGTATTGGCCATAATTTTAGAAGAACATTATGTAGTATTAGTAAGAGGATGAAGGGTTAAGGATTTAGCCGGTGTGAGATATCGCATTATCCGAGGAACCCTAGATGTTGTCGCAATAAAGAATCGTCAACAAGGGTGTTTTAGTGCGTTGTAGATTCTTATACAAGACTTGTACATTTGATGATGCCATGTGAATCGCTAGAAACATGTGAAGTGTACGGCTGACCCAATAACGAAAGTTTCGTAAGAGGACTGGAGCAGGCTACCGAGAGACAAAAGATCCTCTTTCTAAAGAGATTCTATTCGGAACTCTTATATGTCCAAGGTTAATATGAAAATTCTTTCAGAGGTTTTCCCTTTGTCCGAGGCTGGCTCGCCGCTATTCTAACAAGTGATGCTGATGGTGGCCGACTTCTAGGGCGTGGAAACACGTGGTGCATGTCTAAGCTTGTGCGACTTCGACAAGACTATGGCACGGGGTTGATTCAAGATGGTGCGCACAAGAGAGCTTGAAGTCGACAGGGCGTGGAGTAGCATGGCTAGCTACACAGAGTCATGTTGAAGGTGGAGTTGGAGTCTGATGGATGACTTCACTCTGAGCTGATGGAGGGGCTACGACGTAAATGCATGGAGAGTCAAAGCCTATTTCAGCGGTATAGCAAGAGACACGTGGATCGGACTGGGTACCAGTGGTCTGATGGAGACGTGATACTCGGCATCGGTCGGTGATGATCGATGGTTCTCTACAGTGGGGGTTGAGGCAGTGGGGGCTAGCTACCCGGGAGACTCGACGAGGATAGTAGAGGCTCGACGCGGTGATAGCAGCGAGGCGTGCGGTAAGCACGGGACACAGCGACAGGCCAAGGAACTGGTGGTCAGACAAAGTGTGTAGGGGTGCTGAAGCAGTGTTTATGAGTACCAAATTTAAGTTGGTGACTAGGTCTATCGGTGCTAGTTGATGGACAGGAGTTGAACATGGATAATCTGAGGAAGTGGCGGAAAGTCTAAAATTGTCAAAAGTTGAGAGAGTACACGATTGTATATTATGTGGTGTTCAGTGCACATGGCCAAGTGCGGATGACAAGTACAGAAGGAGGCGGAGTGCTATAGTTGTTGGGGAACGTAGTAATTTCAAAAAAAATCCTACGCACATGCAAGATCATGGTGATGCATAGCAACGAGAGGGGAGAGTGTGTCCACGTACCCTCGTAGACCGAAAGTGGAAGCGTTAGCACAACACGGTTGATGTAGTCGTACGTCTTCATGATCCGACCGATCAAGTACCAAACGCACGTCACCTCCGAGTTCTGCACACGTTCAACTCGATGACGTCCCTCGAACTCCGATCCAGCCGAGATTTGAGGGAGAGTTCCGTCAGCATGACGGCATGGTGAAGATGATGATGTTCTACCGACGCAGGGCTTCACCTAAGCACCGCTACAATATTATCGAGGTAGATTATGGTGGAGGGGGGCACCGCACACGGCTAAGAGATCCAAGAGATCAATTGTTGTGTCTCCAAGGGGAGCCTTCCTCCTCGTATATAAAGGAGTGGAGGAGGGGGAGGGGGCCGGCCACCCTAGGCGCGCCCCATGAGGAGTCCTACTCCCACTGGGAGTAGGACTCCCCCCTTCCATGTGGGAGTAGGAGAGGAGAGGGAAGGAGAGAGAGGGGGGGAAAGGAAAGGGGGGCGCCCCTTCCTTGTCCAATTCGGACTGGGAGGGAAGGGGGCGCGCGGCTGCCATTGGCCGTCCCTCCTCTTCTCCACTAGAGCCCAATAGGCCCATTAGTCTCTCCGGGGGGTTCCGATAACCCCCCGGTACTCCGGTATATGCCCGAAATTCCTCGAAACCATTCCGGTGTCCGAACATAGTCGTCCAATATATCGATCTTTATGTCTCGACCATTTCGAGACTCCTCGTTATTTCCGTGATCACATCCGGGACTCCGAACTACCTTCGGTACATCAAAACACATAAACTCATAATATAACCGTCATCGAACTTTAAGCGTGCGGACCCTACGGGTTTGAGAACTATGTAGACATGACCGAGACACGTCTCCGGTCAATAACCAATAGTGAAACCTGGATGCTCACATTGGCTCCCACATATTCTACGAAGATCTTTATCGGTCAAACGCATAACAATATACGTTGTTCCCTTTGTCATCGGTATGTTACTTGCCCGAGATTCGATCGTCGGTATCTCAATACCTAGTTCAATCTCGTTATCGGCAAGTCTCCTTACTCGTTACGTAATGCGTCATCCCGTAACTAACTCATTAGTCACATTGTTTGCAAGGCTTATAGTGATGTGCATTACCGAGAGGGCCCAGAGATATCTCTCCGACAATCGGAGTGATAAATCCTAATCTCGAAATACGCAAAATCAACAAGTACCTTCGGAGACACCTGTAGAGCATCTTTATAATCACCCAGTTACGTTGTGACGTTTGGTAGCACACTAAGTGTTCATCCGGTAAACGGGAGTTGCATAATCTCATAGTCATAGGAACATGTATAAGTCATGAAGAAAGCAATAGCAACATATTAAACAATCAAGTGCTAAGCTAACGGAATGGGTCAAGTCAATCACATCATTCTCCTAATGATGTAATCCCGTTAATCAAATAACAACTCATGTCTATGGTTAGGAAACTTAACCATCTTTGATTAACGAGCTAGTCAAGTAGAGGCATACTAGTGACACTATGTTTGTCTATGTATTCACACATATATTATGTTTCCGGTTAATACAATTCTAGCATGAATAATAAACATTTATCATGAAATAAGGAAATAAATAATAACTTTATTATTGCCTCTATGGCATATTTCCTTCAATAGATGTGGGACATGTTAGAGACTATCCAGGAAGAAGGGTGAGACAACTGCGAATTTGACTCAGGGTGACACCGGGCGACGGTGAAATTCCTTCAAGTTTCAGAGAGACGGTCAAGGAAAGCGGTGACGTTAAGTTCAGGTAACTCTTATATGTGGCGTCCAATATGTGAGTTGTTCACTTTCACGCAGACATTGGTCGGTGTTTGATGGCGTTGAACGGATTCTCCGAAAGTTGGGACCACAAAGTAGAGTAATGAGAAACTTAATTTTGCTCGAGTGTTGACTGTGAAGATGACGAGAAGGGACTACAGTTGCAGGTGGAGTCACATGGAGTCTGGAAGTAGTAGTGGTGCTCATGGTGTATCTCAAGTCCAATGTACATCGAGGTTCGACGTGTGGTGGAGAACATTCGCCAAGGTGGAGTTTGTTAGAGTTGTGTCGAATATTATTGTACAAGGTAGGTTACAGTTGGACTTGGTTTTGGACTGTGTGTAGATATGATAGGAGTTGTGTCCTAATAGAACACTTGTATCCTAGGCCTCTCATATATATCAGAGGTAGACACACGATGTAACATATGCCAACATAATAGCACAGGCACGCGGGGGAGCCGGCGATGTGTGCCGGCGCCAGTCGGGGTGCGGTATTGTAGCGGTGTCATGGGGAGGAGCGCATGTAGTCATGCTCCGGGGATATAGCTATGATGTGAACCTTGTTAACAAATCTCGACGTCGTGCTTGTGTAATTGCTTGATCCTTGATAGATCAACGATGCGCCTCGGATTTATTCTAACACACCAAGTCCGGCATGTACATTCAGTCGGGCATGTAGCCGGGCTACACCCAATCTGACACGTACAAGCCAGGCACAGACACACAACAACAAAATTGGGCATCGGACAGCAGGAGCGGGACGAGGACGGCGACAATGATGATCCTATTTTTTTTAGATGAACAATGATGATCCAAATAATAATTTAGGATCGTCATCGTTCAACTAAGAAAAGGAACATCGTAATTTGCAGAAGGTTACAAACAATGTAAGCGCGCTGGGCCATGGCGAGACCAGCCCATCAGAGACCCGGTTGAACACGGCTCACTTGGCCCACTAGAGACCCAATTGAGCACGGTTCACTTGGCCCATTAGAGACCCAGTTGAACACGGCTCACTTGGACCGGGGTGTAGCCCGACTCAATTTCTCTCGGCGTTCACTTCTGTTCCTACGACTTACGGACGAGAGGTCCTATATGGCGCGCCACGCTCTGAGAACGCAGCGGGCGCACACCCCCTGCTCCCCCCCTTCGCGCCCTTCTGGTCCGGCCCATGTGCGGCCGGCATGCCGCCAATTTTTTTCCGTCTTTTTCTTTGCGTTTTTTTTCTCTTTTTTCAATAATTCAGGATATCAAATAGTTTCTAAATTTCAGTTAAAGTTGCTAACTAAAAAAACAATCATGATTTCGAAAAAAATCACTATTTCAAATATATACCCGGGAATTCAAAATATGTTCCAAAATTTTAAAAATGTTCACGAAGTAAAAAAAATCATGATTTCAAAAAAAGTTCATCATTCGCGAAATATTCACGAATTGGCAAAAAAATGTTCACAAATTTAAAAAATGTCCTCTAATTTAGAAAAATGTCCATAATTTCAAAAAAGTTTATGCATTGGTGAAATGTTCACGAATTTGCAAAAAATGTTCTTGATTCCAAAGGAATGAACATTTTATTGAATTTGATGAACATATTTTGAACATCGATGAACAAATTTGGCATTTGATGAACATTTTTTTTAATTTGAAGAACAAAATTTGTGTTAGAGAAATTTTTTGGAAAAAATATGAACAAAATTTGCATTCGATGAACATTTTTTTGAAAAACTGATGAACAAATTTTTAATCCAGTGAACAAATTTTGAATGTAATGATTTTTTTTAATCTGATGAACAAAAAAATTAATTAAAAAAAGAAACCGATGAACATTTTTTTAGTTTGATGAACAACTCTTGAATTTTTGTGAATATTTTCTAAATCTGATGAACAAAAAATTGAATTGGATGAACTTTTTTGGATTGTTGAACATTTTTTTGCATGGTTGAACATTTTTTGAATTCGATGAAAAAAAGTTGTTAACGAATTCAAAATAGAAAAATTGTAGAAATAGTCCAAACGTGAAGAAGAAGAATAAAATAGGGAAAAAAGGAAATAAAAAACGAAAAAGAAAAACGAAATAAAAAATTGAAAAGAACAGAAAAACGAAAAAAAACAGTACAGAAAACATAAAAAAGGAAAAAAAAGGTTCCGGACCAAATACCGGCAGAACCAGAGAAAGGGAAGCGAACTGGGCCGGCCCGATAAGGGAAGAAATGACGCCTGTCAAGCAAACCTTTGGACTTGTCTCAAAAAAAAAAGCAAACCTTTGGAACGACGGGTCAACCGCCCAGGGACGTACCGGACCAAGACGGGCCCGTCTCTTCGATTCGATCCATAGCTCGTCCTCCCCCAAACCCTACCCCATGTCCGACGGCGGCGGCGGAGAGCCCGGGGCCGGCGGCTCGGCGCCGGTGTGCAACTTTGTTCGGAAGCCACCGAAGAATATCCGGAAGCGTCCCGCCGCCTCCGTCGGCTCTGACGACGAAGAAGGTAGCGGCGGCGACGATTCCGGGGCCATCGCGGCGGCGCGATCTAAGAAGCCGCCCTCTACTACCAGCAAGCTCTTCTTCTCCTCCGCCGACAACTCACACGAGCCCCGCCGTTTCCAGTTCGAGTCGTCCCGGACGATTCAGTCCTCCACCGACAACCGCGCCACTGCGACGCTCGAGACGGAGACGGCGTACGACCGCGATGCGCGCGCCATCCGCGAGCGGCAGCTCAAGCAGGCTGAGGAGTCCCTCAAGAAGAACCCCTCTGCGTCCTCCTCCTCCGGGGAGCTCTACAAGGGGATCCACGGCTACACAGATCACAAGGCCGGCTTCCGGCGGGAGCACACGGTCTCCGGAGAGAAGGCTGGCGGCGCGCACGGCCCCCTGCGGGCGTCAGCGCACATACGCCTCTCGACGCGGTTTGACTACCAACCAGACATCTGCAAGGATTATAAGGAGACCGGCTATTGTGGCTACGGCGATTCCTGCAAGTTCATGCACGACAGAGGTGACTACAAGTCTGGGTGGCAGCTCGAGAGGGAGTGGGATGAGGCCGAGAAAGCCCGCAAACGCCGCATAGCGATGCGTGAGTTGGATGGTAGTGATGCCGAGGCAGAGGAGGAGGACAGCGACGACGATGAGGCACTGCCCTTTGCCTGCTTCATATGCAGGGAGCCCTTTGTTGACCCGGTGGTCACAAAGTGCAAGCATTATTTCTGCGAGCATTGCGCATTAAAGGTACCCCGCAATTTGTTCTGATTTTGTGCTGATAATTATGCCTACTCATCAATGCAAATCTAGTTCATTTGCTTAGCTAGGCTAACAGTTTGTCATATATATAGAGAGATGTAACATGGAACCATGATTGTTTGAGTTCGAGCCATGAACTATTGAAACATTAGCACTTGCGCAAGACTTCTAATTCTGAAGATATTGAGTATTCAATCCAAATATATATGAATTTACCCTATTACGTAAAGCACCTATGATTATGGATATATGGCAGTGTGGTGGAAACAAATTTCCATATCCATACTGGCTGAATGTGTTTTTTTGGACTAGCTGAATGTTTTGTTGGTTCAAGCTTCAGCCATATGGCCCATTATAGCATGCAGCACTGCATTATATCTGGAATGTCAAATCCAAGTTTATAGTTGATTTGTGAGTTCTTAGAAATTCTCCTTCCCATCTATATTTAGCTGTGTGATATGAATGTTTTTTTAATTGAAATGTTAGTACAAAGAGTACCATGCATGACCGCTTAATAATTGAAATATTATTCACTTGGTGCACCTTTTCTGTTGGAGTTAGAGATCTTTATTTGATTGCATAGGACCATCTTGCAGCCTGTCCTGCGTGCAAATTATAGTTTACATATACAGAGAGATGCCAATGGGGTTCAAAGGGAATGTGGAAAATATACTTGACAATAGATAAGTTTTTTACTTTGATATGGAGGAGCAAGTGCATTCACAGAGCTTGCATAGTTGACTTATTCGTTAGCCTCTTGACGTTCTAGGAAGTGCATTCACAGGGCTTGCATAGTTTGTCCAGATCTATACTCTATAGAGAATGTGAGCAAGGAGTCTGGAAACGTAAATTCTGCAGACAACCTGTTACATACAATTGGATGCTGCGTGTCACCAGTGCATGGGTCAATTGTAGTCTTTTGTGTACAAGACTCTAGGGTTTATTTAACCTCATTGTAACAGACTAACAAAAACATTAGGTGTTCCCCTTAGGAAATTTCATCTAGTTACTCAGGAGTTACCGAGTAATTGTACAAAGAAAATAACTCTCGAGGTTTCGTAGTTCTCAGAATGATTGTTGCTCATATTGCAAATATAGTTCTGACAATCTGCATCCGTTGATTTCAGCATCACTCGAAGAACAAGAAGTGCTTCGTCTGCAATAAACCGACGCTTGGCATCTTCAATGCGGCACAGGAGATCCGGAAGAAGATTGCCCAGGACAAGAAGCAGCAGGACCTTTGATGACTGTTGCGCAATGTAGCTTGTATCATGCAGGATTACTTCTCTTCTGTAATTGTATTGTTTGAAAATGAGGGGGAAATATCCAGGAATCAGTTTTGTTTCTTTAGCTCTGTACTAGCTCCTACTTACCATTAGCCACCAAAATCTCAGCTTCTTGTGGCATTGCAGAAGCTTGTGTCATCATGTCGAACTGGTTCTGAATGGATGTGAAGTGTCATGCACATTTACGGCTACTTAAAAAAATGGATCTTTGCCGAGGTATTATTTGTCTTGACGGACCTTCATTTGCACTACACTTGCACTTGGCGGCGCCATCTGTCTGCCTTTGACTGCACCGTCCCAGGTCGACAGCGTGGCACATACTTCGGCATTACTCGTTGCAGAAATGGTATTTGACACAAAAATGAATGTATTTTTAGCTTTAGATACATCCATTTTTATCTGTTGTCACGAAGATGGATGTATCTAAATGTATTTTAGTTTCAGATACATCCATTTTTATCCATTGTGATAAGTAATTCGAGACGGAGGGAGTAATAAAGACGACAACAAGACCTGGTCATCTAAAGAAAGACCTGAAAGTGACAACTCTCTAGGTGGCCAACGTCGTTCGTAAAGAGTCAAATGGCAAATCTTGCAATCCCAGTGTTGGGATATGGGCGACTGCTTCCCCGACCAAGCTCGAGCAGCCCTATGTCACCCAAGGAAATCGCAATCCAAAATTCCTAATACAATAGATTTCGGGCACCTTGCTACATGACATATATCGCGCATTGCATTAGACAATAACTCCTGGGAGTCATCAGCCTGTTATCCCTGACGCATCTTTGATGTGTTGAGCGAGAGCCCTTCCACACGTGACTCCCAGGTCACTATGGTCGACTCTCGTCTATGTTCGACCAGTCGGTCTCACAGTCGGCAGACTTATACCATTACGCTCACGAGCAGAATCAACGATTGAGCCTATCTTCGCACTCCTCTGTTCTCTTTAGGAGGCATCGTCCCATATAAACTACCCATCATGCAGTATCCCCCCACCCCTGGCCCACGTGTGAATGATCGGTGCGGCGATTAGGCATCCTTAGATGAAAGAGTGGTCTTTTAGGATTGGTCGTTGCGTGTCACCACCTCGCACCTATCCTACACTGCTTTCTGAAGGTGCACTCCACCGCCATCTGCGTTTTCATGTGTGGTACAATGGAAATGTGCAACCTTTTCCCCTAGCTCATTGGAATGGCACAAAAATGGTCTTTCAACTTGAGGAGAGGCTCATTTTGAGTCCTATGAGCGCCTTTAAGGAATCTTCATCGTCAACATCCTGGGGAACTATGTGTAACCCTTGATGTCGATGAAACCCATCACCTTGCAGCAAAAAGCAAGGGAATCCCTCCAACTTTTTTAAGAGCTTTTCCACAATTCGAAGTCACATAGCCAAAACTCCCAAGTCGATAGTCATCCATGCATTTATGCAGACTTTGCTCTAAGGGGAGCTAAATTGGGCTCTCAACCTCAAACCGCCCTGAACCACCAAAAAGTTGTACTACAGTGACCTCGCTAAGAGATCGACAGAGGCCCAGAGCCGTGTTAGTCATCCAACGTCCGAACCCAAGAAACTCCTCGAAGACTCCAAGGTTGAAGTCATCCATATCGCAATAAGTGACTGATCATGGTGGTCATTAATGCCAAGCCGAAGAACCTGAAGGAAACATGTCCTAGAGGCAATAATAAAGTTGGGACAACGCTAACGCCCACACGTGTGGTGGGAGCCAAACCCGCCCACACGCTCTATAACACACGTACTACGCCATGTCACCGCATGCATGCATGTGAGAATTTTTTTGGATTTTCTGTTTTTAAAATGTTTTATCTCTTAAATAAAAAATCCGATTGAAGATCCGTTTTCACCATTAAATCCCTCGCGACGAGATCTTCGAAACTAGATCTCATATCAATATATTTCGACGAATTTTTTTTGGTTAAAAGTTGCCGTGTCTATTGCACATGAATTGCCATGATGTTTACACTGAAGTTGCCATGATATGTGTCAGCTATTTTCTTCTACATTTAAAAGTAAATTTTGACATATTATAAAACGGGGAATTAAGAAACTAGACTTATCATGCATCATAAACTAAAATTGCCATGATACATGCACTTAAAATTGCCATGGTTCATACAATTTTTTTTCATGGTCAAAGTACTGAAATTGCCATCATAAAAAAACTAAAATTGGCACATGGCAACTGCAGTGTAAACATCATGGCAACTTTTGGGCAAAAAAAAATCGTCGAAACATATCAACATGGGGTCTAGTTTTGAAGATATCGTCGAGACGGATTTAATGGTGAAAACAGATTTTTAATTCCATTTTTTAATTAAGAGATAAAACATTTTTAAGCCGAAAACCAAAAAAAATTCTGCTGATATCTCTTCATACATGGAAAAATGAGTGGTGATGAAGACATGTGGGTGATGTGCAAACGCCCACACGTGTGGGCGTTAGTTTTTCCGTAAAGTTGTTATTTATATTTCCTTATGTCATGATAAATATTTATTATTCATGCTAGAATTATATTAACCGGAAACTTAGTACATATGTGAATACATAGACAAAGAGAGAGTCCCTAGTATGCCTCTACTAGACTAGCTCATTAATCAAATATGGTTAAGTTTCCTGATCAAAGACATGTGTTATCATTCAATGAACGGGATCACATCATTAGAGAATGATGTGATGGACAAGACCCACCCATTAGCTTAGCATTATGACCGTTTAGTTTTATTGCTATTGCTTTCTTCATGACTTATACATGTTCCTCTGACTATGTGATTATACAACTCCCGAATACCAGAGGAACACCTTATGTGCTATCAAACGTCACAACGTAACTGGGTGATTATAAAGATGCTCTACAGGTGTCTCCGATGGTGTTTGTTGAGTTGGCATAGATCGAGATTAGGATTTGTCACTCCGAGTATCGAAGAGGTATCTCTGGGCCCTCTCGGTAATGCACATCACTATAAGCCTTGCAAGCAATGTGACTAATGAGTTAGTTGTGGGATGATGTATTACGGAACGAGTAAAGAGACTTGCCGGTAACGAGATTGAACTAGGTATGATGATACCGACGATCGAATCTCGGGCAAGTAACATATCGATGACAAAGGGAACAACGTATGTTGTTGTGCGGTTTGACCGATAAAGATCTTCGTAAAATATGTAGGAGCCAATATGAGCATCCAGGTTCCGCTATTGGTTATTGACCGGAGATATGTCTCGGTCATATCTACATAGTTCTCGAACTCGTAGGGTCCGCACGCTTGACGTTCGATGACGATTTGTATTATGAGTTATGTGATTTGATGACCGAAGATTGTTCGGAGTCCCGGATGAGATCACGGACATAACGAGGAGTCTCGAAATGGTCAAGAGGTAAAGATCGATATACTGGAAGGCTATATTCGGACATCGGAATGGTTCCCAGTGATTCGGGTATTTTTCGGAGTACCGGAGGGTTATGGGAATTCATGGGGGAAGTTAATGGGCCTTATTTGGCTTTAGTGGAGAGAGGGAAGAAGGGCCACGAGGTGGCACGCGCCTCCCCCTGCCCAAACCGAATTGGACAAGGGGTGGGGCGCTGCTCGTCCTTTCCTTCTCCCTCTCCCTCCTTTCCTTCTTTCTTACTCCGAAAAGGAAAGGGAATCCTAGTAGAACTTGGGAGTCCCAGTAGGACTCCCTATACTTGGCGCGCCCCTAGGAGGGCCGGCCTCTCTCCCTCCCTCCTTTATGTACGTGGGCAGGGGCACCCCAAAGACACACCAAGTCTTCTCTTAGCCGTGTGTGGTGCCCCCCTCCACAGTTACACACATCGGTCATATCGTCGTAGTGCTTAGGCGAAGCCCTGCGCCGGTAACTTCATCATCACCGTCGCCACACCGTCGTGCCAACGGAACTCTCCCTCGTCCTCAACTGAATCAAGAGATTGAGGGACGCCATCGAGCTGAACTAGTGCTGAACGCGGAGGTGCCGTACGCTCGGTGCTTGAATCGGTTGGATCGCGAAGATATTCGACTACATCAGCCGCATTACTAAACGCTTCCGCTTTCGGTCTACGAGGGTACGTAGACACACTCTTCCCTCTAGTTGCTATGCATCTCCTAGATAGATCTTGCGTGATCGTAGGTAAATTTTTTGAAATACTGCGTTTCCCAACAGAACCCCCATTTGACACCATCGTCGACTCTCCTGAAATGCCTCACGAAGATGGAGCCAACCTCCTCAACGAAATCCAGGTCAAGATGTGTAGGAAACATCCTACATGGAGGTCTACTGCCGCCAAGGCACTCATACAAAGCTTCTACCAGTCCACAATGGTCAAAGACCAATTTGCACTCTTCTGCAGGTGCCGTCACAAAATTGGGCAATGCTCCGGTATGCATACTCAAGAGCATTTATATTGCCAGGGATTGATCGCGAAAGAGCGATAAAAAATGTGGGTCAGGCCCAATACTGTACAAGTGCACATTATAGCTACACCTTTTTTGAATTGCTACAAGCAAAGAATAGGCAATTTCGAACGAAAAGCCTTACTTGGCGCTTAAGGCACACACCAAAATATAAAACCGACCGACCCATAAAGGCTAAAGGGGTTATTCTAGCTTTGGGAACCATCTAGAAGGTTTCCCTGTTTTTTCCAGCCAATTCCACTATGTTTTTCTTGGCTAGTTTTTACTCATTTTGTCCAGTTTTTTGCACTTTCTATTGTTTATTTTACAAAATATATATTATAAAGAATTTCAACATTTTTTCAAATGCTTGGTTTTTCAAAACTATATACATTTTTCAAAATCTTGAGTTCTTACATTTTTTTTAATATTTTCTTAAAATTTGTAATTTTTCCAAACTTGCATTTTTTTATTTTACCATAAATTTAAAGCAGGCCACATAAAGCGAGCTGCCAGCCAGCCCGACCGTACGAGTTTTATTGGGCAGGCCAATGGGAACCCATGTGCGGCGGGGTGACAGTTGGTGCCTTAACTGTCGCTATATTCTGTTCGGAATTGCCTACGGGCGAGCAAATCGGTCTGGCCCATTAGTACAATTTCTCGCTGCCGCTCTGCTTCGCTCGCTCGCTCTTTTTTTTTTCTTTTGTTCTTTCCTTTGAGTTTTCACCGTTTTCTTCAGTTTTTTTCCTTCGTTATACTTTGTTTTAACTTGTTTTTCATGGTTTTCTTTGGTTCTTTCTTTCTTCGTTATACTTTTGGTTCATTTTTCCTTTCTAAACACATGTCCTCTTTTAGTGAGTACACCATTTATATTTTGTAGCGCACACTTGAAATGTAGTTTTTTAATACAATTTGGACAATTTTAAATACAAGATTCATATTTTTAAATACATGTTTTGAGCACTTTCTTGAATATGTGGAGATTTTTTTTCAAATGTACATGGTACATTTCAAATGGCAATAAACATTTTCTTAAACTACATGAATATTTTTATGTTATAGAAATATTTTTAAAATGTCACGCTGCATTTTTTACTGAAAATAAAAAAATTAACTTATGAGAATATTTTTTCACACATCTATAATGTTTATTAAATTCACAAATATTTTTTTGAAACAGGAATATTTCTATCAAATGTGATTTACATTTTTTTATTGGCGAAAACATTTTTTTTCTACATTACGCATTTTTTATGTTGTACACACTTTTTTTCTACACTTTTTTATTTTCACATTAGTTTTTATCATTCTGCACGTATTTCTAAGATTTAGGTTTTTTGGGGGTTATTTTAGTTTTTGGGTATTCGTCTGCTTTTCAAAAGGTTTTGTGGATTTTTTTTTGCGAACCACAAGTATCATAGAGTTGTTTCATTTTTCTAATGGATGCACATATTTAACTTTCACGAGAAGCAAGATTTGCTCTCTTGAAAACAGAGTTTTGGTTCTGCAAGAAGCACAATCGTGCTTTTCGGGGAAAAACAAGTCTATGCTTCCACGATAACAATGGATTTGCTTTC